ATAAGTTAATGTCAGAGCAGGGCAGAGGTTCGGAGATCATGGAAAGCTGGTGTACAAGAGACTTACCTTTGAGGGCCGGTCCCGATTCCTGAGTGCAACCTGTATCTTCCATTGTTTGATTCCCTTTCATTGCAGAGAGGCAGTTTCCAGCAGGATTTTGCAGTCATATCGAGGTCAGGAGGGGTGAGCAGGGTAATTATCTATGGGCTTTGGGAGCCCAGATGCATTAAACAAGTTTCTGATTTTTTTGAGAGACTTTGCCTGGAAAAGAGGAGAGGATTTGTGACACAAGTGTGCCTGACAGGAAGAGTGAGATCCTGCTGGAAAGATGTGCCATCACAGCTGACAAGCTGTTCATCCTTCCAGCAGTCTTACACGTGCGGCTTCACCTGCTTCATCTGGATGTCCTTAAAGGCAGCCTGACCCAGCCTGTGGCAGGGACCCTTTTGCTGAGCAGAGAATAAAATTCACACAGAGGGAAAAACCATGTCACATTATACTGCCTGTTAGAAAAAAAAGACTGTAGAATTTGCTATCAGTGAACTGAAATCTAAACAGCCTAAATGGTCCTAATAGTTAGAGAGGTTAGGGAAGCTTGCCAGAGCGTGGAAAGCATAACAACTGCATGTAATAACAATCAGGCTACTCTTATAAATATTTGCATGTGCTGCTTCAAAGCCTACTACACAGTCATTCATGTACTGCAGTTAGAAAGATGAGGAGGGGGAAAAAAAAAGAGAGAGCGAGAAGAAAAGGGCACTCCGTGTTTTGTAGCTGCCATAATAAAGAATGGGCAAAGCACCAGAAAGAAAAGAAAAAGGAAAAGAAACGTTCCAAAGTTTAATAAACACAAAAGGGAATAAAAATAAATCTTTTGAGCATTTATTACAAGCCCTTGATGGAAGGATTAGATTGAAGCTCTCAGCCTTTCCAGTGTGGGTGTATGTGTGAAGTCGGCCTGTCTGGCCTCTTCCAACGAGAAAAGAAAAGTTGTTTACATTTCCTAACTTGGGCTGTGCATGTAATTGATTTCTTTTTGTTTCAAAAGCAGAAATGAAAATTCAGAGGGGGAAAAAAGCCTCATTTGGATACAATTGAATTTAGGTCTTTTTTGTTGCCAGAACGAAAGCCCAACTCTCAGAAGAGCTGTGTCAAACAGAGTGTTTTGTTTCTCCTGAAATGTCAGTACATGCAGTACTTGTGAGGAAAGCTGTGGAAATGCAGGGCTTAGTTCATCAAACACAACTGTGCAAGGCAAAAGTGTCATCCATTTATGCAGGTAATTCCTGATTTGGGGAATATCTCCAGCGTGAAACAAACTTTCAATTCCCACTTCTAGTTCAAGAGTGCTTGACTACATCTTGCTCTCCTCCCAGGTGCTCCTGGAGGCCTGTATGCCGATTTGGATGGTCAGTCAGAGAATGTGTTCAGTCTCTCCTGTTGACACTGTTCCAATCTGGAGCGATACTGCAGACTGTTGAGTATTTTGGAATAGGTTTCTTGCACCCCTCCCCTGGTGCTTTTCTGCTCTGTCAGAGCAGGGCTGCTTTCTGTCCTAGTTGTTGGCACAGAAGCTTAGAAGATGCTGGACATTGAATAAAGACAGTAAGCAGCACAGAAACCACAGTATCTTTATGCACTTAGTCACTCACATACCAGAGTACATTTTAACCTGGCAGTTCGGACTGCCCTGTGTAAAGCAGCTGATGAAGTTGCAGCTGGTTCAAGGAGAAAAGAAAAAAAAGTTAAAAAAAAAAAAGGCTAAACCTGTGATTCTCAGTGTTGAGCAGCCTTAAGGGAGGGATGCTGCCTTCACCTTCTCCAACTGTGTTTTAGAACTCTTGTCTCAACTGCACTGTGATGATTGTTGATTAAGAATATTATAGCTGGAAGTCTTCAGGGCTTTTTGAGCGTTGAATTAGTGAGTAATTTAAAAATGATAAAAATGCAATCTTTCATTGCATTTACTATTCTTTCTCTCTCTGAAACAAAAGAAATCTGTGTTTTCCTAGCTACAGGAAACATATTGATTTAATTTCACTCATTAATGATAATGGTTCAAAGAGTACTTAAACAGTCTAGTCTGCAGCAGGGTAACTGTGCTTGCAAACTAACTTGGTCAGAGTCATCCTGGCGTTTACTGGAGTCACTAGGCCAAAACCAGAGGGGAGTCCAGAGGTGTCTAACTGAGTCAGAATTGATACAACTGTCAGGTTAAGGTGGAGTCGCAAAGAGAGATAAATTGCAGCATCTGAGATCACTTAAAGGCTAATCCAAAACCTTGTAGACTCCATAGGGTTCTTTCTAACCATTCCCTTAAAGAAAGTTGTGAGTCTCATTTCTCAGTCTTAATGTTGATTAATTTTCACGTAAACCCCAATTCTTCGGTCAGCCATTCTTTTTCAGGTGAAGGGTTCCAGCTATGTGAAAACCTTTTTTTAAAATTGTCCATAAATAATACCTTTTCCTCAACTGACATCCTATGGGTACCATAATGAATGACAGAAAAAAGAAATCAAATTTCTTATGTGGGTTTTGGCTATAAAGATGTAAAACTATCTTATAAGAGAGATGAAACTTCTCTAAGACAAGGATTCATTCTTACTTGTAGAAGGTGTCCAGTGCCTGCCTTCCAGTGGAAGGTTAGTACTTGTTTGTAGTGTATATAAATGCACAAATGCAAACACAAAAATATGCACACTGAGAGAGTATTTGTTCTCTATCTTCTTTATATATGGAAGAGAAAAAATGTAAATGCAGGAATGATTCAGGAAAATTCTTTCATATACGTATTCACAGTTTTTTAATATGCAGTATCTAAACCATAGAAACTGGAAAGAAGGACTAAAAATATACCTCAAGAAAGTTCTAGGAATACTGACAGTTCATTAGGACTTTTCAATCTAAAATAAAGTCAAGATGGACAGGGTTGGTTTGTACCAGGGCAAGTGAATGGCAGATAGTTTGGCTTGTCCACAGCAGACAAAATGGTTGATGCTTCAAATAAATGACAGGGAAGGCCAACTTACAACTCATCCTGGAAACATCAATCTTATATGTACATAATTACTATGCCAAATTATATTCCTAGTAGGATTAGGTTTGGCTGAAGAACAAGAAGAAGTCTTAGAGTTTTCTATAGCAGGAAAAATAAACTGAAGATATTATTTCTCTCTTAAAGGAGGATATAATCTCTGAACCAAGTAGTTTTTGTAAGAATTTGCAAATTATATCAAGATTAGGATCATTGTTGCATAAAGTTAAGCTTTCCTCAGAAGACTTTAATTTTGTATTTTGAGAGAGACTAGCACTGATGTGTTGCTGATGGGCTAGAGGAGCAGTTTTGGTGTAGGGGTAATTTGCATCCGTTTTTCTTTGAGTTCTCACTATAGGATTGTAGCAGTTTCCTGTCAATAAGCATGGTAGCCAAGAATAGTGATTATGATGCCTTGGGGTTTATTTTTGATGTGAAAATCTGAGAACCTTTTTGTTTCTTTAATTAAATGAAATCGTAAGGAAGTCTGGAGCTTCCTGTTCATATTTATACCTCTTACCTCTTTGATCATATGAAGGGTCTGCTCTGGAAAGTACTCTTTCAGAGGATTTTTTTGAAGTATTTTGAGAACTTGTCATATTTCACTTGAATGTGAAGCAGTTGAGGCCAAAATTATTTTTTTTATTGTCAAAGATTTTCTCAAAGGTACATTTATTATGTGGTCAGTATGACCTTACTCAAGGAGCTACAACAAATTGATTATTTAATTTGTAGCTCTGAATGCTGTTGCTTATAAATTCTTTTAATAGCAGCCTATCTAGAAACACTGAATCTAACCAGAGAGGTTAGATTCCCGTGCTTCCTCAGCTGAAAGTGCCTACTCCCCTCAGCTCCCAAACACAATTTTCCTTTTTCTTTCTTTTTATTTTTTAAATGTATCCACTTCAGTTGTCACACTATAGAAAAAGAGGAAACCATTCCCTCAGTTTGAATAGAGATTTTTATCAAGTCTTAGAGTCATTTCATCTCCTCCCTGAGGAGTTTGAGCTTGTCTCCTCTCCTTCCACTCTATTCCACTCTCTCTTCTCTGAGGAGCTGGGGTGTCAGGCAGGGGTGCTGAGGGTTTCTCCTTGTGCTGCTGGTCTGGACAGAGTGGAAGGGCCTCAGATGATGACTGAACCCTTTGGGGTTACCTGGGTTGTGCAGAAGTGCCTTGATCCTTAGCCTTAGTCAGGTTTTACAGCTGGGAAGAAGGAAGAGACTGATTTGAAACCTAAACTGATATGTCTAATACTGCTATTGAAGACTTGAGTCTATTTTTCTGGTGTTTTTTCTGCTTTTCCCCAGTATATAGTAAGGGGTGGTTACATTTATGCTTTTTACTGCTTCCAAGTGGTCAGAATTCATGTAATCCTGTTTATAATGTCTACCATCTGCTTACCTTTTCCCTTCCTTTTTTCTTTCCCTTGTCTTCCAACCCTTTCACTATAATCAGAATTATTGTTTTGTTCCAATTTCATAACTAATTATGGAACAAAATCTGAAGCTGGCTAATTGATGCTCCGTATTCTGGGAGGTAAAGGGCTTCAGAGTACATATAGATCAGATGAGCTGCTGTAACTCATTGTCTTAGCAGATCCCTGTGAACTTTCTGCAAGCCTGAAGGCATTTGCTAGATACCAACTGCTGTGGTTTTTTTCCCCTATTTATAAGCATTCAGGATTTTCCACTAGTAGGTTGAAAGAGGGAAGGTTTAAGTGCATGACCCGAAATAGAGTTGGAAGTAGTTGTTAATATCTGTTGATATGGTGTTCTATATAAAGAAACACATGTGGGGTTGATTTTTTAATTTTTATTAATTTGTTAATAACATTAAATTGACCCTTGGAAATGGAATCGTGCTTCAGATATTTGCCTTACTGTGGCTCTCTTGTATTACAGTGTTTGAAGGAACAGTGTGTCTTATAATTAAAAAAAGTAATAAAATCACACTTCTTCCTTGCAGATGCCATCCCGCCAAACTATTTCAGCCTTTACTTCCGAATCGTCAGATTTGATGTCTCAGCGATGGAGAAGAACGCTTCCAATTTGGTGAAGGCCGAGTTTAGGGTCTTCCGCCTGCAGAACTCAAAGGCGCGGGTCTCGGAGCAGCGGATAGAGCTGTACCAGGTATGGTGGCACCTCAGATACATCAACTCCCCCATCTTTCATCAGCAAACTCGCTTTGCACCCAGCTAGCAGGCGGAGCAAACCATGCAGAGAAGCAGTCTGTCTATCCAAAGTAGCCTCTTATTGTCATGCCTTCCCTAGAAGGGATTTCACTCAAAATTATATGAAGCTGAAATGTGCAAACTTTTTCTAGCAGTTGTGCTTTGTGACTGCAAAGTTTTGAGCCAGCACTGTGCCCAGGTGGCCAAGAGGGCCAGTATCATCCTGATCTGTATCAAAAATAGGTTGGCCAGCAGGACTAATGAAGTGATTTTCCCTTTGTACTCAGCCCTGGTGAGGCCATGTCTCAAATACGTGTCCAGTTCTGGGCCCCTCACTACAAGAAAGATGCTGAGTCCAGAGAGAGTCCAGAGAAAAGCAACTAAGCTGGTGAAGGGTCTGAGAGTAAGTCCTATGAGGAGCCACTGAGGGAGTTGGGCTAGTTTAACCTGGAGAAAAGGAGACTCAGGGGTTGACCTTATCAATCTCTGCAACTACCTGAAAGGAGGCTGCAGACAGGTGGGGGTTGACCTCTTTTCCCAGGCAGCTAGTGACAGGACAAGAGGAAATGGCCTCAAGCTGTACCATAGGAGGTTCAGGTTGAACATCAGAAAGAATTTCTTCACTGGAAGGGTTGACAAGTATTGGAACAGGCTGCCCAGGGAAGTGGTAGAGTCACCATCCCTGGGAGAATTCAAGAGATGACTGGACATGGCACTTAGTGCCACCACTTAGTGCCATGTGGTGGAGGTTGGACTCCATGGTCTTGGAGGTCTTTTTCAACCTTAGTGATTCTATGATTCTGTGATTCTGTTTTTCAGCATATATTAATAAGTGACAGAAAAATATGTCATAAAAGTCATCCCTAGGATCTCTGTCTCCGAGCACCTGGTCTGTACTGTAGTTTACATAGAAGTCAAATTCCTCTCTCTGGCTTGTGTTCAGGGAGAAACCTTTTAACCATTCCTTGTAGAAATGGAATTAATAACTGAATTCCAGACCTTAGCAGTTGCAAACTGGCTTCTATATGGTAGTCCAGGAGTTGAGGCAAGGGAGTGGACAATTCAGGGGTTGAGGAGTGAGGAAGAAAATGTCCCATGACTCTCTCACTTCTGAGTGTTGATAAGATTGATGCCATTCAATATTTAAGGACTTTAAAGCCAATTAACCTCACTTAACAGAGAGTCTGTGCATTTGTGCAAATATTGTCTAGAGCATATTTCATCCAAAGCATACTTCACTCTGCTGAGAAACACAGCATCTAAAAGGGGTCCAGCTCCCAGCAGTTTTATACTAAGTAAAACTCATGATTGTTCTGGCAATCTGTGACTTGTTCTGCTGAAAACCTTGCCAGATCCATTGGGTGCAAATTTGAGTTAGTCATCTCCCTCACTTTCAATGTTCACCTTTTCCTGCCTGGTCTGGTTGAGTGGAAGGCAAAATCTGAGCAGAGAAGGGGCAATTTGGATTCACATTCTTGTTTGAAGAGACAGTACAAGCTAACCATGAAGGCTGACAGCAGGAAAAGGCACACTGGTATGTTTAGACATTGTTTAAACATAGGAAAAGCATGATTCTGAGTTGAATGTGGTTCCGGTCCCCAGGTGGCCACTGGGTGCTTGGCTTCACAGTTGTGATCTGCCTGCCTTCCTTTCCCAATGAAGGAAGAAGGCAGAAAAGTTGAGCAAATAATCTGTCATTTGTTAAAAGAGAAAGCTAGAAATGTTTATTGAGAGTCACTGGTGTTGCCTGTATTTAACAGTCCTCAGAGAGAAATACACTCTGGGTCTCTGTGATGCTGCCACACCAGCCGTTGAAACAATTGTATGTTCTGGCTTGACCTCACTGTTCAGACATCCTAAAAGGAGCTGATGGCATCTCTGGGCTTTCTGTTGTTCTACTTTTGAGAGCTGTTAGTCGGCCACCTGAAAGGAGTACAGCTGTGGTTGTCTGAGCCCCATTCATTGCTTTTCCGGGTTTGAGGAACATGGGACACAAAGGGTTTGGCAGTGGTAAGGAAGAAAAGGCCTTTGCTTGGCTGGGATTTTGCCTTGTGATGAGAAACAGCTGGGGCTTATTTGGGAGAGCCTGACTCAAGCAAGCCTGTGCCTGTGGAAATGACTGACACCTGCATCCAAGACAGGTACTTGGGTCCTTTGGATAAATATATGGCTGGTGAGTAAGGCAGTTTCTTTTTTAGGCTGGGTGGGGCATACTAAGTGAAGTGTTAGGTGAGTAATGAGTGCAGGTTGTTGTAGGATTAGGTCTTTTCTCCCTCGACTAACAGGCAAGCCAAAGGCAGCAAGCTCTGAGCATGTGTTTTGTCAGGCATATTTTAGGCACGTTACTTTGCTTCTTTGCTTGTAGAGAGATGAGCTGTCTCTAGAGCATTTCCCTTTGGTCATATTTGTTCCTTGGGATTTTGTATGCAGCTCTTCCTAAAACCTTGTATTCAGGTATTATAGCTCTGTGATGGCCAATCTGAACTACATGGGTTCTTTGGCAGCAGCTCTACTGTAGGAGCATGAGAGTCCCTAAATATTACTGCAAATAATCTCCATCACAACATATGAGGTTAACATGCAGTGTTTAACAGGAAAAGCAAACGTGGGAAGAAAGAGGAGGGACCCAAGATCCTTTTGGGTCTCTTCCAACCTGAGATGTTCTATGATTCTATGATGTATTGTAGAACAGTGCTGTAGAAAGCATCCTAAAACTTAGTATATGTTAGGATTAGTATATAGTTAGAGATTAGGAAGAAGAAAATCTGTGGAGGTGAAGGCGAAGAAGGATGGGTAAGAGCCATTGGTGCCACAGTGATGCTAGAGGAGTTCAGGGCTGTGTAATGATATACTGATAGTGCAGATAGGGTTGTCTAGCAGTAAAGGAAGGTACAAATATGAGAGGTAAAAGGGGAGAGTGAGGAAGATGCTTTTTCAGTGGAAGTGGGAGAGGCAGATATGTTCAGTAAGGGCTAAAGACTGTGGCAGGTATCCAATTCCAGCGTGAAAATCCATGCATGGAGAGTGAGCCTTGAAGAGGAGATTGCTAGAGGAGTTGGCATGTGCAGCTGCTGCTCCTCCTCTGTGTATAAGCATTGCTTCCTGTCTTGTGAGATAGGTGCTGGGCTTGCCAGGGCTGTTGTGCCCAGAAGGAACAGTGTGGTTTTTCATCTTGCATAAGCAACATTTAATTATTAGGGTTTTTTTTTTCTCCTCCGACCAAGTTTCAAGTTGCCTAGTGTTTTGCTTTGTTGTGGAGATCTTCTTGATGAGGGTTTTTGAAATTCCTCTCATACCTGCAGTTTCAGGGAATGGTTGTTCCTTTGTCCCTGAGTCTTTCTCAGTCAAGCAGGAAGAGAGAGGTGGAAGTCTTCTAGAGAGATCTGCTAGCTCTCTTGTGGTTCACTGGGATAGTCTCCTAACTGCTCTCCAAGAGCTTTTTGATTGAGTCCAGTGGAAATTCAGTAGTAGCATATATACCACTGGTGCAGAAGGTACAACATTATTCTGAAGGACTATTTTAGGAACAGCTAGAGACAGATGTGCAGGGTAAATTGAAAAAATAAGCAAGCAGAATATAAATATTTTGTTTTTCCTCCTGATTCTTTCTTTGTGTGGTCCCGTGACATTACAGATCTCCCCTTAAAACGAAAAAAGAAATGCAAGACTGCACCTTTTCGGCTAAGCTTTCCTGAGGCTATACTTGGCTCCCTTTTCCAAACCACATCAGAAAGGAACCTTGTGTTTTCCTACAGCCCTTGTTTGCACTGACTCCGGGAAGGCATTCTGGGGCTGCATGGCGTGGCAAGCCAGGACTGTGGCCCCTCGTTCCTGGCCCCTGGCACAGCAGCAGCAGGACCCTGTTCCCACCTCAGAGTCCAGGCTGGAGCAGGGAGTGCCCCCTCACATTTATGCCGTGAGTGAGTGGTTATGGATCTGTTTGCTAGGTTTGCTGCCCTCCACATTTCTCTGGGCAGTGAGTCCTAGAGATTAATTCTCATGAAAGTGCCCTGGATGCATCTGCGAAGCCAATGGGCAAGTGGTGATTCCTGTGAGCAGAAAATGTCTGTTTTCACCCAGAATACTTCTCTTGGTGTTTAAGGATTAGTCAGCCACATTTGTGTGTTCCTGCACAGATGGGAAATGCAGTGCACATACTAAGTAGTCTCAGGATGGAAAATAATAAAAATCACAGAAGTAGGAATTAAGGCTTATACAAAAGTTCTGTCTCTTCTTGGCTATGGATAAGCAAAGCCACAGAGAATTAAATTCTTTCAAGGCACTGTCTTTTCTGTTGTTTCTTCTGCCCAAAGGGAGGGTTAATCTGATGGTTATACTGCTGATCATCAGCATGTTGGAGAGTGGGAAGCCGGAGGGAAGGAAGGAAGCGGTGTGACCTCAGACATGGCGAGTGCTCCCCTCTCTTTCTCCTTCCATCCTTCTACCGCGCCACGATCGCTTCTCAATGTGCACTGAGACTTCAGAAAATATTGAGAGGATAAAGTGCTTTTGAGGGAGGGAAGAGGAATAATATTAAATAAAGAAGTTTTAGCATCCTCCAGTGGCTCTTACTATGTTTTTAAAGATTTATGCCAAATGCAGGCTTTATTGGAATTTGATCAGATAAAGCTCAGTTGTTATGGGAATGTCTTTGTTCATTGGTTTTCTGGCCTGCTTTGAAGACTTCATCACATCTTTCTTTTATTAAGGTGCTTCTGTATTTATGAATAAAGTCTCCGCACTCTTCAAAAAAACCCTTGTCTTTTATGAATAAGCATTCCAAAAAATAAATAGGCACCACTGCAAAGCTGAACTAGTGGAAACCCTCACAGGGTGAAAAGCCATCCTTCGGAGAGCATTGTGGTATTGTTTTTAAGATATTTTTATTATGTACAGGCAGTCAAACAATAAGTAATAATTGCTTCCTATGGAAGTGGTGCCATATTTTGTTAACACATC